AGCTTCCGCTGCCGTCTCTTCTGTTTTCTTTGCCTCGAGTCTTGGCATCGGATGGGGCAACACGAACTGCCCGGCCTGACATCATCCGTCATACCTGTCACACTCGCTGTCTCTCAACCTGGAGTTCAACAGACATGTCGACATGGAATGTGTTTATTTTGGTATCATGAACCTCAACTGCCGTCCCCCGCTATGAACAATTGATAAGCTACACAATACTATTACTACCCAAAGAAACAGCCAAGACCTTCTCCAACGCAAACCACAGTCCGTCCGCCTCCGTCATTGAGCAGTCGGCACCGTCCTCCGTCCTTCCGCCAAGAGGGCCAAGAAGGCCAAGAAGCCCCTAATGCTTGCTCGATGGGTCCTCCTTCGTCGCCGCAGCCAGTTAGAACATCATCGCCGTCAAATTTTGCCCCAAATGCCTCCAGCCTCCAGCCTGCAGTCTGCACCCGATTAAACAAGCAGTCGCAACCATGTTTCCCACCGGTTCTTGGGTCGTCGCCGCGGTGGGGGATCTTGCGTTTCGCATCTGCTTCCACTTGTCTTATCGCCTTCGTCCTGTCGGTGAATTCGTCGGTGGCTTCCTTGGCTTGGCTTGGCCACCGTTGCAGTCCCACGCCCATCAGCTCGACTCAAAAGCAGCCTTCGTCCCTCCTCGCTGCCATCTGTTCTTTTTCCCCCGTCAGACCACTTTCAGCTCAATGACCCCGGAGCTCACCACCTGTCGCTGCGTTGCTACACTGACAAGCCCTTGCTGAGTCTGCTCTGACGTCTTTGTTCTCGTCATCGTGTGTCACCCTCTCAATTGTCGACATCTCTGACCTGCTGTCGGTCTGCCGTCTTTTATCAACCCGCCGCCGCCTTTTGTCGTCTTCGAATATTAGGTCAAAAGACCACATCTATTTTGTCATCCCCACACTGACTGCCTTTCGCTCGCCATGGGCAACCCGAAGGCAGCCAAGCCTGATGAGAACCATGTCTCTGGGCAATCAAACAAACCTCTCTCCCATCCCGCCCACGCCCTGTCTTTCAAGCAGGTCGCCGACGAACTCGGCGCCAACCCCCAGGACGGTCTTTCCGCTGCCGATGCCAAGGCCCGTCTCGAGGAGTTCGGCACCAATGATCTCGGTGAAGCGGAGGGCGTACAGCCCATCAAGATCATCATTGCGCAGATCGCCAACGCCATGACCATGGTAAGTCATCACAGACACATGTCTAATGGCACATCTAACGCTTGCCAAAGGTCCTCATTCTGGCCATGGCCGTCAGTTTCGGCATCAAGTCGTGGATCGAGGGTGGTGTCATCACTTTCGTCATCCTTCTCAATGTCATTGTCGGCTTTTTCCAGGAGTATTCCGCCGAAAAGACCATGGACTCTCTGCGCTCTCTCAGCTCCCCGACTGCCAACATTGTCCGCGACGGCGAGTCCATGGTCGTGCCCTCGGGCGAAATCGTGCCCGGTGATCTCGTCGAGATCAAGACTGGCGATACCATCCCCGCCGATGTCAGGTTAGATGTTCCATCTCCCCCCGTTTTCTGGAAGCGACTAAGTAGGCTATTAGACTCATCGAGGCAGTCAATTTTGAGACGGACGAGGCTCTGTTGACCGGCGAATCCCTCCCTGTTCGCAAGAATGAGGACGCCACCTTCGACGACAACACCGGACCCGGCGACCGCCTCAACGTCGCGTACAGTTCGTCCAACGTCACCAAGGGCCGCGCCAAGGGAATCGTCTTCGCCACTGGCGTCTACACCGAGATCGGTGCCATCGCCTCTGCCTTGCGCAAGAAGGACTCCAAGGTTCGCGAGGTCAAGCGCAAGCCCGATGGCCGCGCCGGTCCCCACCGATACCTGGAAGCGTATACCCTCACCACAACCGATGCCATTGGCCGATTCTTGGGCGTGAACGTCGGCACACCCCTTCAAAAGAAGCTGTCCAAGTTGGCCATTCTTCTCTTTGGTATCGCTATCGTCTGCGCTATCATCGTCTTGGGCGCGAACAAGTTCGACGCCAAGCAGGAGGTCATCATTTATGCCGTCGCCACGGGTCTGTCCATGATTCCCGCCAGTTTGGTGGTTGTCCTCACGATTACAATGGCCGCCGGCACGAAGCGCATGGTCAAGCGCCACGTCATTGTGCGCAATCTCAAGTCTCTCGAAGCCCTCGGCGCCGTGACCGACATTTGCTCTGACAAGACTGGTACCCTCACACAAGGCAAGATGTTGGCTCGTGGCGCGTGGCTCCCTGGAATGGGAACCTACACTGTCGAGAACTCGTCGACGCCTACGGATCCCACTGTCGGTGACATTCGTTTCGACGAACGTTCCCCCAGGCACTTGGACTTTAAGAAGGGAGGCGACGCATGCGGCACCATTCTCGACACGCAACATCTGTTGCAGAACAGCAAGTCTGGTCTGGCTGCTTTCCTCCACGTTGCCTCTCTCGCCAACTTGGCCACAATCAGCAAGAAGGATGACCAGTGGCATGCCCGCGGTGACCCTACCGAGATTGCTATCCAGGTGTTCGCCTCTCGTTTCGACTGGAACCGCTTGCGCCTCACCACTGGCGACAGCCCCGAGTGGAGCGAGATTGCCGAGCTGCCCTTCGACTCCGATGTGAAGCGCATGTCCGTCATCATGAAGCACAACACCACTGGCGAATACTATGCCTACACCAAGGGTGCCGTGGAGCGAGTGATCCAGACCTGCACAAAGTACGCTCCCCAGGACACGGACGAGCTCGTGGACATGACTGCCGAATTCCGTGAGGAGATCCTCCGCAACATGGAAGCCCTCGCCAGTCTCGGTCTCCGCGTGCTCGCCCTCGCCAGTAAGCCTTACGACGGAAAGCCGAACAAGGGAGACGAGGTCGAGCGTTCTTCCGTGGAGTGCGATTTGGTCTTCCGTGGCTTGATCGGCCTCTACGACCCTCCCCGTCCCGAGTCTGGCCCGGCCGTCCGTCAGTGTCACGAGGCTGGTATTTCGGTTCACATGCTCACCGGTGACCACCCCGAGACTGCCAAGGCCATTGCCATCGAAGTCGGTATCCTTCCTTCCCGTATGGAGCGTGTAGCCAAGAACATTGCCGACGCGATGGTCATGACCGCCTCTGAATTCGACGCTCTCAGCGACGATGACGTCGATAAGCTTCCGGTTCTGCCCCTCGTCATCGCACGTTGCGCTCCCAGCACCAAGGTTCGCATGATTGAAGCTCTTCATCGCCGCAAGAAGTTCTGCGCCATGGTAAGTTCCTGCTTCCGACTACAAGTGTCATCCAGCCAGCTAACCAACGATAGACCGGTGACGGTGTCAACGACTCTCCTTCTCTGCGTCGCGCCGACGTTGGCATTGCCATGGGACAATCCGGATCCGACGTAGCCAAGGACGCTTCCGATATTGTACTCACCGACGACAACTTTGCCTCCATCGTTTCTGCCATCGAAGAAGGTCGCCGCATCTTCGACAACATTCAAAAGTTCGTCCTCCACGTCCTAGCCGAGAACATCGCCCAGGCTGGTACGCTCCTCGTCGGCCTTGCCTTCAAGGATGCTCGAGGCCTTTCCGTCTTTCCTCTTGCCCCGGTCGAAATCGTCTGGATCATCATGGCTACCTCGGGCATGCCCGACATGGGACTCGGGTTCGAGCGCGCTGTACCCGACATCATGCGTCGCCCTCCCCAGTCCCTCAAGACTGGTATCTTCACGATGGAATTTTTGGTCGACATGGTGGTGTACGGCCTGTGGATTGCCGCCCTCTGCCTGTGCAGCTTCGTCTTGGTTGTCTACGGATTTGGAGGTGGCGAGCTCGGTGAAGGGTGTAACGAGACGTACAGCGATTCGTGTGACGTCGTGTTCCGCGCTAGAGCAACGACCTTTGCCTGCCTGACTTGGTTCGCCTTGTTCCTCGCCTGGGAGATGATTGATAGGCGCCGTTCATTCTTCCGCATGCAGCCCGGATCCAAGAAGTACTTCACCCAGTGGATGTACGATGTCTGGCGTAACCGCTTCCTCTTCTGGGCAATTATGCTCGGCTTTGTTACCCTCTTCCCCCTGCTGTACATTCCGGTCATCAACACCATCGTCTTCAAGCACAAGGGAATTTCGTGGGAGTGGGCCATCGTCTTCATCGCGGCGGGACTCTTCTTTGCTGGCGTTGAGGCCTGGAAGTGGGGCAAGAGGGTTTACTACCGTCAGAAGAACAAGAAGGCTCTTGGCGTCGCCTGGAAGGACATGGACATTGAGCAGAGAGTGTTTGGGGAGTACCTCGGTGGCGCTTCCGACGACAACAGGACCGAGATTGGTGATTATGACCAGTGCGCGGAGAAAGAAGGCCTGGACAAGGTTTAGGGGCCTGAAGGAGTCTTGACGGGGGTTTAGAGTTGGCTCGAGATGTTGATTGGCCAATGGTTGTAGCACGCAATATAATATCAGAGAGTATTTCCTCCGCGCATGATTTCCCAGCGATGAATCCCGCTTTAGTGATGCCGAGACGATGTTTAGAGACTTGAGCGGGATGGTGGAGTTAGGCTGTCGGTGACATCATTTTGTGTGACTGATGCTTCGCTGTTGAAACCTTCATTCCGAACTGAGTGTGCCAGACAAGATATACTTCGCGGTTACTTCAATATATTGGGGCCATTTATAACAAGCCAAGGGTCATCAACATGAATTCTTTCAGCCTACATTGGTATTTGTTTTGGCCGTTGAGAACTCAGACGAGCTCTAATAACTGGAATTTAAAAAGGCGATACGCTTGAACGATAAACGATGGCGCCACGCCGTTGATTTTGGTTCGCCGTTGAGATGCCACATTTGCGGCACAAATATTGCTCGTTCTTCTGTCTCAAGTTATAATAAAGTCATAGGGCCTAGATCGTCTTCAACATGAAAGAAGATCTACGATCAATCAAGCCCATCTAATTCCTCAACATCCAAACACTGCTTGCACCTCCTTGCTTCCCCGACTTCAAAGTTCTCAAGATCCCATTGAGAACAATGATGAACGACCGCAAGATCTCGGCCCTCTTGGTCGCTCTAGCCTCTCTCGGTCCCGCCAATGCCGTGTTTGGGTTCGACATGGCCGGGGTCGATGAGCCGATCGACGTCAAGGACCGGTATATCGTCACTTTCTCGCCCAACATCTCGGAGGCGGGTATCGAATCCCACTTGGGCTGGGTGGACACGATGCACGCGCGCAGTCTCACTCGTCGGGACACCACCGGCTTCGAAGACCGACTGGACGTGGGCGACGACTTCCACGCCTACATCGGCCACTACGATGAAGCGACTGTCGAAGAGCTGAGGAACAACCCTGACGTTGGAAACCCTGAATTACACATAAGCAAAAATTCTCCTTGAACTAACCAGTCGTGCTAGGTGGCATACGTCGAAGAGGACAGTGTCGTCTCCATTGCGACAGTCAAAACGCAGGCGAGGGCCGGATGGGCTCTGCACAGCATGGCGAACCGCGGACAGAGCAGAAAAACGCAATACTTATACCACGACTCTGCCGGAGAGGGCACGTACGCGTACGTGATTGACAACGGCATCGACATCAATAACCCCGAGTTCGAAGGCCGCGCAGAGCACGGATATAGCGCACATGGCCACAAAGTGAGCCACTTCCACGGCACCACAGTGGCCGGCATCATCGGCAGCAAGACGTACGGCGTTGCCAAGAAGGGCAACCTTGTTTCCGTACAGCCTTTCGGCGGTACGGGAGGCAAGATGAGTGACGTGTTAAGAGCCCTCGAGTGGGCGGTCAAGAACGCAACGGAGACTCCAGAGCGAAAGGGGCGCTCGGTGATCAACATGTCTATGTGTAAGACTTTCTCGCTCTGCCACAGCGTGGCTTTTTATGTGCAGATTCAGAATCTAACGGGAGTTCTCAGCGGCTGAGGTGAAAGATAACAATCAGCATGCCATGGCTATCAGCCGTCTTGTGAAGACCGCCGTTGAGCAAGGCGTCCACGTGGTCGTCTGCGCCGGTAACGACAACCAGGACGCCAGAAAGGAAGTGCCCGCCGGCCTCCCGTATGCAATCACCGTCGGCGGCATTACTGAGAACTGGAGATGGTGGCGTCATTCAAACTATGGCCCGGAAGTCGACGTCAGCGCTCCCGCAGAAAACGTGATGACCACTGGGCTTAAAGGCGCAACAGTCCAACAGACCGGAACATCGTTCGCCTCTCCTCATGTCGCCGGCCTCGCCATGTATCTCCTGGGGAAGGAGAGTGCCAACAACATCATACTGAGCTCACCTGAGGATCTGAAACGTCGCATCGTGGCCATGTCTACCAAGAATAAGATCAAGGGCATGGAGCGTACTACACCGAACAGGATTGCATTCAACGGAGCCGGGCAGTGATTGAACAGTGGGGTTGTTGGGGTACTGTGCGCTTTACACGCAGCTGGTAAAGATGATGCAACTTAGTGCTTATTAGTTAGAATGATCTGGATAGTCAATTTGATTCTATTGGCACCGCGAGGTCTGCAACCGTCTGCCCTGACCAGCTCATACCTTCACCCATGCAATTGCGCCCACGCCCATCTTCCTCGTCTTGCACACCCTAGCCGCGAGGACGCACGTCATGCCAAGAAGGAGACATGTTCCCGCAAACCCTTGGGCGCCAGAGTACTTCCCTCCTTGCGCGTCGATGATCGCACCGGCGATCGGAGATCCCGTCAAACTTGCGAAACTGACGACAGTGAAGACCATGCCCATCCGCGTGCCTTGCTTCTGAGGGTCCGCGGTCAAGCTGCTCAGCACCGCCGGGAACAGCGCCTGCACGCCGCCGACTGCGAAGCCGTAAAACACTGCCCACACGTACAGCCCTGTGAGGCTAGCAACGCCCATCCAGCAGTACATGATGGTGCCAGTCATGAAGGCCATCGGGGCAAAGATGTTGATTGTGCCAATCATGTCGCCGATCTGGCTCGGTATGATTCTGCCAAAGGCACCGACGCCGTTGAGGACTAGTAGTAGGTCCAGGGAGTCGGTGAAGGAGAGGCCCATGATGTCGCGGGAGAAGGCTGCGAGGTAGTGGAAGGCAAAGTAGATTCCCCAGAAGCACTGTCGCGTTATCAGCTTGAGTTGATAAGAAGGAAGCCGTACGTCTTACCATGAAAGCTCCGACTGCGTAGAAGCTGTACTCGGACTCCTTGAAGGCTGCCCACTCGACCAGAGGTGCGGCCTGACGGGGAGGTATCCTGGTCTTGATGAGAAGCCCGGCGATGGCTAGAGTGACCAGCTGGATCAAGGCTATTGTTCGCATTGTCCACCCAAGTCCAATCTGGGGCAAGAGCTGTCGGACCATGCTCGGGAATGCCAGGCCGCCTACCGTTGCGCCCGCGGCGGTGATACCGAATGCAAGTGAGCGGCGCTTGGCGAAATACGTGGACGTGACTGCCATGGTTGGGCAGAAGAGACATCCATTGCCGAGGCCAAGACATATTCCCTGCGCGAGAAAGAACTGCCAGTATGTGGTGCAGAACGAGGCGGCAACCATACCGAGCACAACCAGAAAGAAGCCGACGATGAAGAGGGGCCGGAAGAAACCCATGTCAGTCCAGCGGCCGGTGAAGGTGCCGACAAAGAACAGCAGGAAAACCTCGAAGGAACCAATCCATGATACGTCGGATGGCGAACGATCAAATAGAGTTGTGAAGTATGGTTGGAAGACGCCGAAAGAGTTGGCCACGCCCCTAGTATCATTAGTGAGTCCGAGTTTGCAGCAAATTTTAAGATAAATCTTACCATGTGTTCATCACAACAAGATGAGTGCTCGATACTGTTACTTTGTCAGCTTGGTTGCAGCCGGGAAACCATACCCAGTGGTGGCTGTGACTTACCAACCATCCACGCTCTGAGCCCTCCATCTGGTGGTACATCAACAATAGCACTCGGTCGGGACGCAACCCGGCTAAGTGTTCTATGTGAGGGAACTGTGGTAGCATCTGGCCCGATTTCAACAGGAACGTCACCCGAGACCGCGGACGCGGCACTGGGTGTGCTTTCTGAGTGCGACTTTTCCTGCATGATGCGCGAATGGACAGGCCCAGGTGCAGCAGTTGGCGTGCGTGAGGCTCAACTCAAATGGTTTCTCAACACCAAACTTTATTTCCCACGATCACAGTTCACAGGAACGCTAAAAGTTTGCAACTGCAACTTGACCGGGGTCCAGACTGCGGGCGGCTCTCGTTGTTGAAGGGGTTCCCCGCATCAAGGTCTTATGTTCGTTTTCCGATTTCCCGACTTCGGCCTAATTTGGGGCGGGAAGAAACCTGTTCGCCGGAAGTTACTGTTTTTGGGTCGGAAAAGGCATTGAGGTCCAATTATTTAACAGTCATGACTCCTGACCGATCGTTTCAATTATCAATGGGATTCCTTAGAAATGCCATTTACAGTGGCGGTCTAGCTCAGCGTGTTCGTGGAAGCTCTACTGGCACGAATGCCGCGGGCATCGGGGGGTAATCGGCCGACTAGGTCTCACCGGAAGTCGGGCCGGAGCCGGATCCGGGGCAAGTCGATCCACCAATTACAGGGGCATCCGTCGTCCATGCCGTCAAAAGAAGCGGAAATGCAACAACTACTGATGGGAATATTTTGTGACAAATATCATTTCTTTGCCATGCTATAACTAACAGACGGTCTATCGATCAGTATGGCTTGACACCGGCAAGCTTCAGCAACTTATCCGTGATCTCAGGCTTCTCAAATGGCTCTGATCGGTACTTTGGGCAAACCTCGCCATTCCTCTTTGGCTTGTCCTGTGAAGGGCGGATATTGCTGTCGGCTGTCAGCTAATGCAAGATCGGGAGCCCAACCGAGCAATGCAGGAAAGAACTCACCAATGAGGCCAATGCGTGGTCCCATACCAGTTCTCGAAACAAAACTTCTTCGCCTCAAGGGCCTCGTCCGTCGCGAACTTGCGCGGGGTCATGCAGATGTACTGCACGTGTCTGATCTGGTCGCCCTCCGGGAAGCGGGCGTAGTGCATCGTACGCGAGTCCCAGAGGACGAAGTCGCCGGGTTCCATGTTGACCTTGAACAGCTCGCAGCCCTTGCTCTCGAACCACTTGACGTCCTTCTCGCTGAAGAGGAAGAGGTCCATGAACTTGATCTCGGGGGGCGGGGCGTCTTCGTGGTCGGCGGACTCGCGCTTGTGGGCGAAGAACTCGTCAAAAAGCTTGGCGGAGCCCCTCATGAGCATGAGCCCACCGTCTTTGGGACCGTTGGGGGCGAAGTTGAGGAGACCCTGAACGGCTTGCATTCTGATATGTGTGAGAGACGTCACTAGGATATAAGATTGGCTCAACTCACCCTTTCCTCTCGGGGTTCTGATCGCAATGCGGCCAAGGGCTCCAGGTAATGTCTTTGCGGTTCGGCATAGAGATGTTCATGCCGTCGAATGAAGTGATGAGCTCGTTGGTTTCCCAGAGCTTCTCAAACACTTCGATAATCTTGTGTTCCATGCGGGCTTCCCATGCCATCTTTTCGTGGGATGCGCCGTATGCGGAGTACATACTGTTCATGGGGTCAACATTGCGAGTTTGGCTTTTGTGATGTAAACACTCACCCTCCCTTGAAGCTCACAGGGAGATGATCAGCAGTCCATGTCGAAGGGTCCTTGTCGTCAAAACCAAGCTCAAACTTCTTCAACCACTCAATCTGCTTATCGCAATAGTACTGAGCTCGTTCCGGGCTGATGACGTTCTTGATGACTACACAGCCGTTCTTATGAAACTCGTCGCGCCAGTCTCCGTATTGCTTGTCAGTGTCAAATGTGACTAGATCTTTGGTCTCGAATTGAGTGGCAAAGGTCCGCTTGACCTCGGTGTCGGTCACTGTCTGCGTCTCCGTGGCCATGTTTGTGAAGTGAAACTGATATGTCCTACAATCGGGAAAGGCTCCAGGAACTCGTTGATGGGATTGCAATGAGAACGTAGGAAGGGCGTGAGAATCGACAGTTTGAATCTTTCACTTCGCAGCGAGGAAGACGTCTGTTATAAGCCACCAGCTTCATTTCATTGTCGCTTTGAAGGTCTCATGTCGGCCCTAGTGACCATACGTAAGCCCCCGAAGGTACGTGTTCGTGGTGCCGAGCCCCGTTCGGGGAAGGTCTGGGCCGGGCCGGGTTGTCGGTTCGGTTCGGTTCGGGAGTCGTGTGTGGGCGAGTAGCGCGTTATCGATCCCCCATCCGGGGCAAAGAGGCCGGCATAAAGTCTTTGGAGACTGATGTGATCCCACGCGGGGTAAATAACGGGGATCAGGATAGTATAAAGAAGAACAACGTCGTGTGGTAGCGGAGACTACCCCTATCGTGCATAGATCTTCTCACATTCCCGGGACGGAAGCGCTTGACGCAACAGCTGAAAGGTAGACACCTGGTAACCGAATGAATGGATTCCTGCTCCTACAGGATGGCCCCTACCGTCTGTTCTAAGCGCATTTGAAAAATGTTTCACGGCCATCCAAACATGATAGGAAGCGGCGTAAGGTGGCAATCATAGCCAGTCATGGCATATATCGTGTTCTATTTAATTCCAGGTGGTCTTGCACCATTCAGAGTCTTCTCCAGGAACAGATGTCCACAAGTCGACAGTCTGGAAAGAACGACAGTCTGGAAACAAAGGAGAATACAATTAGAATAGATGAGAGCCGTCCAAAGGTTTCGTACCCGTGATCGTTGACAGATTTTCCTAAGATGTGGTTTATGTTCGATCTTCCCAAACACGCCCCTCATCTTCTTCTTCCTGGTAATGCAGCCTTGACAACCCGTATGCGTTGTTAGAAGCCAACGTGTAGAGAAGCATCAGAGCCGCGAACGTAGTCCAGATAGCGAGGATAGTGTCGATGATCCCAACGTAAGCCGAGCCCCACCAAACCATCGCCAACGACAGCACGGTGGTGATAAAGCCCCAAATTCTAGCAACGAGCCAAAGGGATACTGCGATAAGAAAAATGGTGGCAGCCTAATGAAAATAAATAAGTTAGTAAAAAGAGTTCATCTGCAAACTATCTAGTCGTTCGTTTCATCAGAAAGCCTCTCACCTTCTGAACAGGGCTACCCCTGGCCTTTCTCTGAGCCTGAAAAGCATAGATCGTCATGCCGACGGCAGCGATCAGAAACATGCAGTTAACGCTAGCTGACATATACTCATAAGCTAATAACAACCTAATGGCGTTGTCCCAATCTCCTCGCACGTAGCGATCCCTCCTTGGTAGAACCTTGAACATGATCTGAGAGGCGATATAGCAGCAGAAGACTGCTACCTCTACGAGAGCAATCAGAGCTGACCCGCCAAATACTACCTTTCTGCCCACGGAAAAGGTCCTGGAGTCATCGGTCGTGGTACTGCCACGGAGCTGAGCCAGCGCGTGGGCGAGGAAAAAAAAGGCAAGAAGAAGGGCGACTTGGCCCAGTGTGCTAAGCAGCGAGCCGACAATATGAATGTAGGGAGTAGTATAATCAGGGCCAAAATAACCCCTGCCGTCTTGCCGCTGGGAGTACTCGACCGCGTAGATAATCCAGCAGACGAGAATGAGAAGCTGGGATCTTTTGAAAATCGACAAAGTCAGCATCTTATCGACCGAAGGAGGCTACGCCACGCGTGTTCGAGCAGATGCCCCGTGAGCTTGTATGACATATAGCCCGCAATGCCGAACACTGCCCACTTAAAAATGAAAAGAAGACACTCACATGCTCCAGAGTCCTAAGGCTGCTTTGGTGAAGTCGACCCATCGGCGCGTGGGGTCATGCTTGGCTCCGAGTTTACGAAGAGCAACAGCAGAGACCCCCAAGGCCGGGAGGATGACTAGTCCGGATAGGACACTTCGGACTATGTATCCTGTTATGTACGGTTGCCAGTCCATGTTGAATTCTCTCGCTCGATTCGTATTATGTCGTGGTATATTAAGAATTAAGGAATTATGGTGTTGCAGTGAGAAGCTAGTCGAACTTTGGGTTGTTGCCGAGGCGATCTTAAATTGTAATGGAGCAATAAAGTCACAGAGGACCGGGTCGACAACAAGCTTAAGTATTACCCCAAATCAAAATCAAACATGTGAGCCCACGATCTTGGCGATTCACCATCCAGCCATGGACCAATGTGCTGTCGGTTCGAGCCGGTCTCTCACCCTGGCCGGGCGACTGCTGTGCCGCCTCAGCCCCTGTCCTTATAGGCTTCAGCCCCGTGGAGATGGACCAGGCTAGACTGAGTTGGGCAGCATACAGCGCTTCGGGGCACACTGCCAAGGAAAAATCGATGGCAAGAGCCTGTAATCGCCAAAGAAAATGTGCAAAAGAAATATCATCGCCCTATGCGGTTGGTTACCCGCACACGGCCCGCTTCAATCGTGGGGCGGGCGCAAAGCTGCGCCCCTCAAACAACCAGTTGAATCGGAAGCGACTCCAAAAATGCAGGCAGCAGTCAGATGTTACTCGGAAAACACCACTTGAGAAAGTGACTGCCTGACAGAGTTCCATGATGTTGAAATAAGGTTGTGGTTCTAGTGAGTCGGGTCCCGAGCCACGTGCGCAGGATCGTCTATCGATTGTACTTGGGCTGCTACGTTGCCCGGGTACCGGAGATTGAAAGGCTGCCTTTCATTTTGTGGGCAGCAAGTCTGATATCAAGCTTATCAGTTCTTGCATCTGAATCGAGGTGAATGAGGCTTACGGCACGGCTAACTCCAGTCTTTCTCACACACTTTTCTCAAAATGCTGTTTCTAGGCTTCCCCTACTCTCACGAGCTGCTCATGGAGGCCTTCAAGCATCTCAAAATAATTCAACAAATCCTATCTTGATCTCGAGTTTGAAATTTACACGCTATCTGACCTTGGAAGCCTCGGACTGAGGACTTCACTTTTCAATGAAAAAGCCGCGTCAGGTAATCATTTTCAACACATTTCAGATGTGTCGTTGATATTAGCCAAGCCCTTATCATCGAAGCTATTCCATATTGAACTAATAAGTCACATGAAGCGGTCATTATTTGTGGTGTACAATGCGGGTTTTGTCACATAGGCGTCGCAGCCGAAGCCGATCGCTAGCCAACACGGACAAAATTCAGTTCGAGGACACCCCACGGCCTCTTAGCTCTGCAAACATGAACGTCGGACAAGTACAAGGCAGCTTGAGAAGGGCTTACCACCTGCGTGAATGATTCTGGCTAAGAGACCTAGGTATACCTACGTTAGGTCTGTTGGTGCTATTGATTTCTTGTCCATTGTCGAATTTTGCTCGTCATCATTCTGATTCTCATTACAATGGTCCCCATTGCTGTGTATGCCGACTCTCAGCCTGAATGGAGAAGGATCTGCCCACATGGCAAACCCTTTTTGGGAGCTCACCGGCTCTACTTGTGTGCGCATCGAAGAGACCTGGATCAACGACCAGATATGAGTCTTTCTGGCATACCGCAAAACCGAACGGTGGTGAGAACTCGTGCTATATGATGAAGTTGAAAGCAACAATATTCCGCGGCCAACTTGCGAGTGGAAAACAGTGCGCCTAACTTGATCCACCAAAAGAAATCCTTGTCAATTCTACATGTATAGAGGAAAGTCGAATCAACTCATGTCCAGGCTTTCTCTAGTTGTATTGGGGGTCTCAGAATAGAAGAGGCGAAAGCTGGAGTAGTGAAGGGCGATTACCGTCAATTACAGTAAGTCTCTGGACAGGCTATTATCAGCGCCCCCCTCCCTCACAACGGGAAGTTGAAGCGTGCGAGTTAGATGTTTACGCTTGTAACTCTGAATTCGGTGTCCCTCTAGAGCTGCACTACCTCCTTACTTGGTCTGAATTAAATCAGCAATGCTGTCGTGACAGCAACCGCCGTGCCGACAGTGCCGAATGGTAGTCATACATGCAGTTAGTCAAGACGCGGAATACTGATGTTACTTATCGCAACTAAGCGGCGAGAATTGACTGGACATGATTTCTATTCTTTCAGCTCTTGATCTACGCGACGCAACCTTCTCGTCATGTCTTTCAGCTGTCTGCATTCGAGTCCACGATGGAAATAGTACTTCCGCAAGCCAACTGCCATCGCTGCAAGTTGTCTTGGCTTAGTGTCAACGGTTACATCAATAAGACCATTATCGGCACACATTTTCAGGCAGATCCTCAAAAGCGGGCAAAGGCATGCTGAGTGCCGCGCCAATTGAGTCGTGGCCCGCGTCTACCCCAACATGCGGGGGAACACCAGTCAGGGGTTAGCCTGCATAAGTCCTTGGTAAACATGCCATCAGTAATTGACTGCAACCTCACCTCCGCTACCGAGGATGCGCACCAGTAGTCGACGAGTCTGAACGGTAGCAGTGGACCGCTGAGAATCACGAGATCCGCTCTATTGAGCCAAGCTGAGTTCGCCTTCGTATTCCCCACGGGGAACGATAGAGACCGCTGAGATTACCCGTTATGCCCAGCGAGTATATTAAGCAGGGATGTCCACGTCATATCGACGGGCTTTCCGTGATGTTATTAGGCTTAACAATTCTTCAAGACAACTCTCTTGGTTTCTGATCATCGTTGGCTTCAGCGTCTACCGCTAGCAAGATGTGGTTCAACGCGCAAAACTGCCAGGGTCTGGCAGCCCTCGCGCTCTCCCTGCTGTCTGCAGGAGCGAATGCTCAGGCAGTGCCTCCTGTGAACCAAGAGAAAGGAGTCTCCGCTTGGGCTTTTGATATGAGCCAAGTCACTCTCAGCAGCGGTCGCCTCTTCGACAACCAAGCCCGTACCCTCACCTACCTGAAATGGGTCGACGTCGAGCGGCTGCTTTACAACTTCCGCAAGAACCACGGTCTGTCTACGAACAACGCGCAGGCCAACGGCGGCTGGGATGCCCCCGACTTTCCTTTCCGG